TCAGGCTACAAAATACCCACTATTTTGTCCTAGTTTCTGACACGAAATATTTGTCCTTCCAACTTCAGCTATGCTAATTGTCGAGGAGTGGTACTCATATGCTGTGTCATACAGATGCGGTCTCTGAAACTTGTTACCAAGTCAAGGATACTCTTTCATTACAAAGTTAAAGAGAAGACTTAGGGAAAACATTTGTATGTATATATATTTGTATGCACACATATGTATAAATATATCTATAATTTTTTTATTATTATTATTATTATTATTATTATTATTATTATTATTATTATTATTATTATTATTATTACAGCAAACATTTTGGAGAACCCAGAACCAAATGCAAGAGTGCCTATCACCAGCAACAACATAATCACTCATTTCCCTGTGTACCGTGGAGATATCAGTTCCATGTAAGTCTCTTCCAAAGTCCATTCGATTTAGCTGCCAAAATACATGGGCAAAAGATCAAAAGCTACTGCATTACTGCGGTTTGTCTGGTTGCCATACAGAGCTGAGCTGCAAAAGAGAACTCCAAGTCAATTAAAAATAAATCTAAAATCATTTCCACACTAGTAAGACCAGTAAGGCCTCAGACCATTTTTGTAAACATGTTCAACACATAAGACAGGTTTTGTCACATATTAAAGGTTTTGGGTTTTACATTAAAATTTAGAAGTATATCTGGGAATTTTGTAGCCAAAAAAAGATCCAAGGTAGACAATTTTCTTGCTTAAGATCAATGTTTCTTACACTGTTTCCCTTGCATATATATCTCACCTGATAGAAAATTGTTAAAAAATATTTCTAAAATACAGTTCCTCTCCTCTTAGAGAGCACACTGCCCTATATTTGGTAGACCTCAGATATACTGTGTTTTCTGAATTATTTCTTTATGATGAAAAATAAGATTGCCACCAGGTATATTAACTTTTGTTAATGTCTGCTAAATTATATTCATTCAACAAAATTCACACAGGGCAGCTTAATCACAAATTAAATCCACCCTTTATTATATATCAGCATAATAAAATTTTTCCCTTTTTCTTCTGTCTTGATAATGACAGAGGCGTCTGTCACAGGATGCTTCAGGGTGGGAGTGGGTTCGGCTGTTACTGGAAGAAAGAAACAATCTCTTCCTGGACCTCATATTCAGTTTATCCAACCAGCAGATAAGAGGTTTTTCTCTTTTTTTTCCATTGTTGTGTTATTATTGCAGATTAATCTGACTGTCACATATATTTAGAGTCACCTAATGTTTTTAAATATAAAACCCTCTTATTCTACATTAAAAACTTATCACTCTACAGAATTCAGTTAGTCAAGCTAAAAATTTTCATATTAGTGCTTTGCTTCAGGCTAACTTTTTTAAAGCTTTAGCTAAAACAGCCTTTTTAGACAAGATTAGTGCAAGGCAGACAACTCTATCAAATTTATAATGACCATCCTATCAAATTTTCTCAAAGAGCCTTGAAGCACTAACAAGTGATTTCTGAAACATGTCCTTATTTCCTGTCAAAAAAAAAAATTCCATCTTTTAAAGCAGAATCACAGGATTTTCAGATTCTTAGCACATCCTTCACAGAGATGTTGCAAGTTTGCTGTTCCGACCATAATCCTATCCCTCATTGCTCCTTAAGTGCCAACATGCTTCTCAACCTACAAGGAAAGTTTTCTGTAAGATCTATGGGTCAGGCAACAGTGGCAAAACCCCAATATCCTTCAGTCACAAGCAGAAGTACCGGGCTGCATTGTTCTGGCTGCCAGAACAGGCCATAAGATTTTGTCCCAACTCTTACTGATGATGTGTGTTAGTATTTCTTAACACGTTTTAGCCCTTATTATTGGATAAAGCCTCTTTATGTGGCTTAAAAATCAAGTCAGACTGACTTCCACAGAATGACTTCCGCACCATTTTACATGTAGAGCAACAAGGAGCTGCAAAGTCAGATAACAGGACATGCCTTGGTGTGGCAGACAGACATTTTGCCATGTATCCACGCTGCTTTTCAAAATGCGTGTGTTGCATCTATAAATTTGGCTAAACATTACATTTCCTTCTTCTATCCAAAAAGAATCTCGTTAAGAGAAATGAAGGTTAGCTGTGATCCTTTAGCCTCAAAATTTATGCCAATGTCTTCATTACCTGTGTTTCAGAGGTGAGTATTGATGATCACAGCAGGATTTGAGTACAGCTTTTTAACATGCCTTTTTCGAGGAAGTATCTGCAATAGTTTTACTGGTTATCATATAGGTGCTCTCCAGTTAATCTCTGCATCCCATTCCACCATCTTCATTTCCCATACAAAATGCATACCACTGTGCTTAGGGCTTGTTGTAAAATGTAAACAAAGGGGAAACTAACAGTGACATCTCTTATTGGTGTTTTGAATCCCAGCTTATGTGACAATGCTCAGATTCCTCCCAATCTAATTGATCAGTTGCATTATCCATATTTAAAAGACCTAGTTTTTCTGCCATAGTTATCACAACTACCATCCCATCGAATTATTAAAAGTTTTCCCTGCACTGAGTGTGAATACATATTCTTCAATGGGAAAATATGGGATTATTGCATTAAAACTGAATACATCTGGAAACATGCTGTAAGAAGAGAAAAAAGTGTAAGGCATTGCTACTTTTTAGTCATATCTTACATATATGCAAGCATATCACTATTTTGCACAATCCTTGCTGCTCACATCCATGTCCATAAACTGTGAATTGCAAACCCCAAAATGTCTATGGAGGGAATTTTTCCATCAGTCATGCAATCAGTGGCTTCCTTTGGTTCCCTCCTCATGCCCACATGCTCAGGGGTGAACTCCTGATCACAGCCGTGAACGTGGTGCCAGCTGTATGCCTGCCATTCCTGACCTGTCAGTCAGAGCCAGGCAGTCAGGAATCCGCTGGGTCTGACTTAGCATGCCCTTTGCATACTCGCTTAACATTTTAAGCTCCAATTAGTTGCAATTTATGTCCAGTATCAGCCTATTAATTCACACTAATACCTGAGATGACCTTTCTGACCAGCCGAATCTTTCAAATTAGCAAGCAAGAAGCAAGAAAATTACAACGGTTCTGAACAACAATATACAAACGTTATTGGCAACTGTCATTTAAGTTTGAACAATTACATTTGTGTCGGTCAGAAATCTGGAAAAGTTCCCATGTTTTCAAAACATACAAAATTTCTCCATGGTGTGAATTTCAGATTGATTTCCTACTCTGGAAACCTTCTTAAGAACAGCGGAAGCTGTTGGCTTTGCCCTAACAGATTTACAGGTTAATTTTCATTGTACTGTGAAAAGAACTATTTGTAGCAGCATTTCAGTAATACTGTGTGCAGTGTCGAGGATAAGTATTTCATATTTATGTTAAGTTTTCTTATTTACGCTAAAATGTCATTTTTATGCTTAAAATGTTTAAATTTATGTTTAAATTGTAAAAAAGGTTTAAAATATCATATTTATCTTTAAATTTTATTTATATTTAACAAATCCATCCACTTTCTCTGTCCAAAAGCAAATATTTGAATATTTCAATTGCAAGCTGATGGTAGGCAATTATCATCAATGACACCTCAATAAAATGTCTTCTAATGATAAGTAAACTGAAGACAAATACTAAATACTTCTTCATATATTCAAAGAGTAAAATCAGTTCTGCTTAACTGCAGTTCAAATCTACCAGCCAGTTTTCATGCCTTTCTAGAAAATAAGAGATGAAAGAAACAGAAAAACTTTCCCTGCAACTGTGTAAATTGCGCATTGTTGTTATCTGTTTTGTTTTTAATTAGCATTTGAGTATAAAATTAGCATGAAATCTAATGTTTTCAAACACCTGTCCTGGCTCTCAGCTGAGCACATGCCTAACTAACCACATGCACAGCTTGATAAATGTTTGAATTGATTTCCTAAATCAAGTTTAGGTGAACTCCAGTCTGTACATAGTTCAAACTATGACACTGACTGCTTCCTTTATTGTAATGAAAATGTCCCAGGTCTTTCTGTACTTCATCTTTTAGATATTACCTTTAAAAAAAAATAAAATTGAAGAGCATGGTTACAGAAAGTCATGGTGAGGAACACAAAAGCCCACGGAAAGTAGGCAATTTATGACTGTAGTATCTGGGTCAAATGGTAGAAAGAATAGCAAGAATTCCTAAGACATACGTATGACAATGTGAAAATAATCATGATTATAACAACTGTATGTTTTTATGGCAAAATTTTTATTCTTGTGCATTAGTACAATAAAGGCTTCCACTCCTTTATCTCTGGCTTTGAAGAGATGGGGGAAGATGAGTAAACTGTCAGTTTGAATTAATGTTTTGTCATAAATATTTATAGCCCACAGAAAACAATTCTATGACTCTTTGTGATTGAGCTAATTAGTTATACATTTCATTCTAAATGTATTAACATAATTCTTTTACGGAAGCTTTGGCTTTCAAGAAATTGGTATTAAAATACTTGGGTTATAATAAACCCAACAGAAGAAACATTTCTAACCCCAGTGACTGACTAGGAGAGGTTTCCTTCCACTTGTTCCACTTACTGGGTCTACCCTGAAGGCTATTTCTATCATAAGCCTTGATATATGATGCTGCTTTTGTTTCAAGCTTCAAAATTAAAACTACAAAATATAAATTCTTACTAAATAGAAAACCATGACCTAACACGCCTACATCACTTAGAAGGACACGCGTGCAGTGAAGGCATTGATAGGTTTTATGGGAGTTTCCAAATCCCAGAGTGATTAGTCTCATTTCTTTTTAACCAAAGAACACTAATAATAAAACAAAAGACAATCATTTGTAGGTTGCAAGTCCCAGATCTTGTTTATTTATAAAGCAATAAATATTAGAAGCACAAATAAATTGCACGGGTGTGTAAACAAACTGTACAATGACTGAAGAGTTCAGGAAGGGTTGCCAGAAGACTCCAAGAAGCAAATTGTCGTCATCCTGAGTGGGAAGTAAATTGAGGGAAAAGTGCTTAGAAGCACTTGCGGTGGACAATGGATGGACCAGCTTCATCATACTCCTGTTTACTGATCCACATTTGCTGGAAGGTGGACAGAGATGCTAGAATGGAGCCACCAATCCAGACCGAGTACTTGCGCTCAGGTGGGGCAATGATCTAGGATAAAGAAAAGCAACAAAATTCTCATGTAACAGTTACATTTCTAAACAGCCAACCCACATCACTGATATAACAAACCACTGGACATCTTCTTAAGTAAATAAAGAACTTCTCTATAATAACCCTATTGATCTTCAGCAGCTGGTACAATACATGTAATATTCCTTAAGAAAATCTATAAGCATATTTTCCTCTTTTCTAACACTTGCTTCTAATCAATATAATTACACCGATTAAACAGAATTTCTTCTCATTCGTCCATCCGCTATTGATCTCACTTCTGAGTTGTTCCTATATCCCAATTTAATGATGTGGACCCACATCCTTACACACATTTTATAGTCAGAGTCAAATTCCTCACCTTGATCTTCATAGTGCTAGGAGCAAGTGCAGTGATTTCTTTCTGCATGCGATCAGCAATGCCAGGGTACATTGTCGTCCCACCTGAGAGGACGTTGTTAGCATACAGGTCCTTACGAATATCAATATCACACTTCATGATACTGTTGTAGGTAGTTTCATGAATGCCAGCAGATTCCATACCTTGAGAAGAAATTAGACAGTAGATCAGTAAATTATATAAGAGGTCTTTGTGAAAAGAATTCTTGGCATCTCTCATCATCATTAATATGAACTTCTATGACATTTTTTATGCAAAATTACTTACTGATTATTAAATGTTATAGAAAAACATAAAAAAATAGAATTACAGAACTAGCTAAGAAAATGAAAATTATTTGTTAGAAAGGGTAAGAATCATAATGCATGTGCAAAGGAAAGATACTCAAAATATACAGTAAGAGAAGAAGTAGACACACAAGACAATTGCATTTAGTATATGATGATGGGAGAAAGTTATATAGAAAAGAAAACATGAATATCAGGTAACATCAGAGTCTCACAAAAATCACTAGTTGAATATAGAAAAGACAGCAATAAAGACAATGAAAGCAGTTGAATTAGAACTAAAGAAGACAATAGTAACTTCATTTCTTTTTCAGCCTACTCAAAATACAGTATTTATAAACATCAAGGCAAGGCATAACCAAGACACGGATGAAGATATTCATACTTGGTGGTGAGGAAAAAGAAACCAGAAGCAAGTGTTTGTAGGTTGCATTCCAATTTATTAATTTTAACAGGTGCTTCCTGAAAGGGCTGACACTAGATCCACCGTAAGATGTCAGCTGATGAACAACTGCATTTATTACTCAGGACTTAGAGTATAAGCATTTGCTACATCCGTCAGCTGCACTCACAGACAGCAAAGCTTACTGTCTTGACCGTGGCAATGTTTAATTACAGTGCATATAAATATACATGCACCTTCATTCCATTTTTTCCCTCCCAGACACTTCACTTCTTCATGGAGTCAGATACTGTTTTAAGTGTAAGCCTTATAAATACAGCACTAAAAGCTGTTCTTGCCATCAGTGACATAGAATCATAGAGTATCTTGAGTTGGAAGGGACCCATAAGATCATCGAGCCCAACTCCCTAACGATGGAATTCTAACTCTACATTTTATCACTAAAAAACTGTGACCCTAAAACCTGATCTAAAACTTGCAACCTGAGCCCAGAGCTCAGCTAATTACCAGTTGAGCTCACATCAAGCACAGCTTACAGGGACCAGAGGATCTAACGCTTCATTTATGTTTGATTTCATGCCAAATTTAGATAAGGAGGAAGAGGAGTGGGACACCTTTTAGATCTTCTGATTCATTCATATCTCCTACAGAAAGGAGAATTTCCTGGCAACACTTACCAATAAAGGATGGCTGGAATAAGGTTTCAGGGCAGCGGAAACGTTCGTTACCGATTGTGATCACCTGACCATCAGGCAATTCATAGCTCTTTTCCAGAGAGGAGGACGAGGCAGCAGTGGCCATTTCATTCTCAAAGTCCAGTGCAACATAGCACAATTTCTCTTTGATATCACGAACAATCTCACGTTCAGCTGCAGATATATGGGAATAAAATCAGTGTTTGGAGAAGCAAAATACTAGAGGAAGAAAATGGGCCAAGAGAGGACTGACCTGTTGTCACAAAGGAATAGCCACGCTCCGTGAGGATCTTCATGAGGTAGTCAGTCAGATCCCTGCCAGCCAGATCCAGACGCATGATAGCATGGGGCAAAGCATAACCTTCATAAATAGGTACATTGTGGGTGACGCCATCGCCAGAGTCAAGAACAATACCTGGGAGAGAAGTGTCAGAGAGCAGTTGGCATCACCTGGCAAATGCTTAGAGCCCCTAGGCACAGTAAGCAGCAACAAACACAACAAAATACAGGATTTTTCAGGCACTATAAAATAACACCATTCTCTTTTAGCCATAAAGATCTTGCCCATTCCTTCTGCCTTGGCTTGCCTGGACATCCCTGTTTGGTGTGAACTTTCCCATAAAACAGTTGTCCCGTACATATTTTAAGCTAATCCATACAAACAGTCTTCCACTGCTACTACACTGAGCAGTAAGCACATTCGCGATAGTGATCGTCTTGGTCCAATAACGGGCATCTTTTGGGCCCAGTTTAAGGCCTTAAACTGGTGTAATACTTGTGTCACAACTGCAGTATCTTCACCGGGATGTCTCCTCAGTTGTGTCATGCCAAGCGGCAGGAGGCTCAGTTCCACAGTGCCCCTCTGAAAGCAACGCAGACCTGGTCCACATTGCTCTGTCCACAGAGTATTTTGTTCCAGCTTTTCTGCTACTGTTATCAACAGTTGCTATAAACTAAAAATACTTAGTTTTCTGTCAATTTGAATGAGTTGTTGGGGTTTTTTCCTATTTGGAGTGAGAAGCAAGGAGGGGTCCTGAAAGGAAAAAAACTAAACAGTGTTTATTGTTTTTATTTTACCTGTTGTACGACCAGAGGCATACAGGGACAGGACAGCCTGGATCGCCACATACATAGCAGGTACATTGAAGGTCTCAAACATTATCTGGGTCATCTTTTCACGATTAGCTTTGGGGTTCAAGGGGGCTTCTGTGAGCAAAGTAGGGTGTTCCTCAGGGGCCACACGGAGCTCATTGTAGAAAGTGTGGTGCCAGATCTTTTCCATATCATCCCAGTTGGTGATGATGCCATGTTCAATGGGGTATTTCAAAGTAAGGATACCTCTTTTGCTCTGAGCTTCATCACCCACATAGGAATCTTTTTGACCCATACCAACCATAACACCCTAAGAGAAGAAAACACAGAAAAGCATTATTTGAGGAAGACAACACCACAGAGCCCAAACAATTACATCACAGATCACTATGCTATTTTCAAGAAAGGTAGAAGCAGTCACACCACTAAAAGGTTGTTCAGGAAAAGAAATGAGCATTATTAAAATAGTAAGTCAACAGAATTTGAAGTTTTCTCATAAAATCCTTTTTTCCTTTAATTGGGTGAAAGACTTTTTGCCCCTTTTTTAATGCAGCTCTTCTTTTCAATTACTTCTTTCTGGCCAAAAAGTTTGACTGAAAGTAAACTGCACAGTAGCATGAGCAGGAAAAGATACAGAGAGACATACAAAGAGAGTTTATAAGTAATAAAATACAGAGGGAAATGAGCCTTCTAGTGAAGTAAGATACTCCGTATTACTATGGAGCCTCAGCAGTAATTTATTCATGATGACAAAATACAAATTGCAAAAGTTTTAGCTAAAAAAAAGAATTTGTAAACTTTTTACCAAGGAAATTGTAGGTGAAAAAGTACAGTATTTTTTGTATGCTGATTTAACTGACAAAAGAGGAGAATGAAAGGGGAACAGAAAAAAGGAGGCTTAGAGAGCGGTGAGACGGTAAGATCAGAGACAGAAAAAAGAAGTAGAGGAGACTGAAAGAAGGTGTTTGGTATGCAAAACATCGGACAGGATGGGTGGGAAGGGCCTTGAATAGGCTGCATCGGGCAGAAATTCAGCCAATGGAGATGCCTTTGAACTGGCACCAGCAGCAGGTCTGGCCTGGGGGCTGGAGTGGGCAGCAGCTTTGTAGGAAGCTGGGTTTGGGCTCATCAGGAGAGAGAAGAGGGAGAGTCGAGAGGAAAGTTGGTGAGTTAGAAATAGCTGGGAGAAAGGGAGCCAGAGATAGAAGGAAGATGAGGGGCAGCCAAACGGGGGAGTTGAGGGAAACACTGGACAGGAGCGGAAAGGTGCTGCTAGTACCACTGCAAGAAGTGAGCAGAGGGAAGGGCAGGGTATTTGGGGCAGGACAGAAGAACTAAGGAGGGAAGGGGTGCATGGAGGCGACTCCTGGAGAGAGTGTGAAGACCCCACCCTGCCCCGATCCTGCCTG